TATAAGGATACCGTGGATTTTATTAAGAGTTGCTCGGTTTGCAACGCATACAAACACAGTTCACTGGCAACTCCTGGGTTCATGGGAGAACCTAAAGTTTGCTGTCGGCCATTCCAGTGCATCAGCATCGATTTAGTTGGCCCACTGCCGATGTCCAGACAGCAGAACAACTATTTGCTGGTAGTAGTGTGTTGCTTTACAAAATATTGTTTATTATTTCCTTTACGTCGAGCTACGGGTAGGGTGATTGCTCAGCGACTGGAGGATCATGTCTTTTTGATTCATGGTATACCTCAAACCGTGATCTCCGATAACGGATCGCAATTTGTAAGCCATGAACTTCAATCTTTGTATGCCAAATATAATATACCACAAGTCCATTTGGGTCCTGTGTATTGCCCTCAGGTTAACACTGTCGAACGTTATAACCGTACTGTCATCACTGCGGTGGCCTCGTTCGTTGAAAATGACCATAGATCTTGGGACGTGAATATTCATAAGATCCAGTTCGCTATGAACACCTCTGTGAACGAATCCACGTCATATACTCCGTTTATGTTAGTTCATGGTAGGGAGGCTGTGACCGATGGTAGTATTTATGCCGGTTTCAACGATCTTGACGAGTTAGTGATAGTACCCCGGGATACTCATGCGTCTAATCTGGGTCATTTAGGTGAAATCTTTAAAGAGGTCAAGGACTCACTGCGAAAAGCCCACGATAGGAACGTTAAATATTATAACAGGCGTCGTAGGGATATTTCCTTTAACGTAGGCGATTACATTTGGAAACGGACGTATAAACAAAGCGCGGCTCATAAATACTTTTCAGTCAAACTTGCACCGAAATATGAACGTTGCAAAATAATCCGTAAACTCTCCCCACTCGTTTACGAGCTCGAAGACGAAAACGGGAAGTATGTAGGCAAATGGCATATAAAAGATTTCAAAAGCGCTGACCCCGAATAGATATTTAGGTAGGGACTTATCGCCGTGGATGTGGCGGCCGACGAATACCCATTCCGCCTTCTGCCCGGCGTGACGTAGAAATCGTCAATGGGTCTTGGTATCACACTGCATCTTAGATACCCATGTGTGCGTTCGTCCCCGATAGTGTGATCTCTTTGTTTGCCACCTAATTAATGCTTAAACACTTAATTGTCTCTTAACTTTTCCAGGAGAAGGTTTTGTTAATGTGCTTGTTAGTTTTTTACCTACCAAGGCATTTTATTGAAGTTGCTAATACAAATGAAAACGTATTAACAACAACTTTTATCATAATATCCTATGATGAGCATAGAATATTTATGATATTTTTTTTATTTCTCTCGGGAGACAGTAAATGAGACACACGATGGACGAACACACAACATGCAATTTTGTGAGCAAATCGCCTTTGACCAATAACATCTGTTTGGTTAATTTTCTACCATTATGTTTTTCTCGGTATAACTGGTAACATTATAATTTTTTTTTTTGATTATATCTATTTTCGGAGCAAAGATGCTTGCGGTACGGCCTTGAGTGGTATACACTTTGTGTTACTATTGTCATTTATTATTATCTATTTTTGTTACAACTTAGAGATTTATCAATGATTTATCGTTCTGTATGTTTATTTTTTCTTAACTTAGCGGTTTATAATATTCTATTATTTTATACAACATAACTTAATCATATCTTAACTAAAGTACATAAGACATGGGGATATACGAACGAGGGCGTTCGACGAATTCCCTACGTGAATTCTGCCGTGAGTGGGGGGATACTGTAGTGTTTGTTTTTAAACAGAGCGTGACACTGACACACGTAGGACAGCTGTTTTGTCTATGATAGCGAACCGCTTACGTTAGCGTAGCTGTCAAACTTCATTGATTGGGTTGGTAGCCTTGAGGGAAGAGTCGATTTTCCTATTCGACTAAAATATTCGCCTTGAGACTTATAAAAAAAAAAAAAAAAAAAAAAAATAATCAGGCGGGAATCTCTGTGGGGGCGCGTGGATGAATGGATGGAGTTTGACAGTTGTTGAATTTTGAATAGTCTTTCCCAGATCGATTTGAGTCCTCATTATCGGGTGCTGTTTTTAATCGATTTTGAATTTTACTCGTAATTGAATTTCCTCGCTGATTTGGGTAGGTATTCCCTTTTCCTCAGCTTACGGCGAGCGTAGGTATATAGTTTTGAGTTTATTCTTCGGTTCGTCTCGAATGCGGCGGCTGTCTGTTTGACTGTGGCCTTTGCCTTCAGTTGAAGTGGGAAACAAATCATAGACACATGTTGGGGAGTAGACGATCCGTCTATCATCTATGAGCAATTGTCAAAACAACTTTTAAAATTTCACAATCTGTTTGTGGTACAGTTAACTTTTCATCTTTTCTTCTGCCCAAAGTATAATAAACGGCATATTATTGTCGTCGAAGTCGTGAGATAGATCCGAAAAGTTTATATCCCGAAGGATATTGGCGGAAAAAGCGCGGAGTCGCTAACCGAACTGAGTTTCGTAGGTATATTGGAGTGGCTCTTTTTCCTACATAATTTGCAAGTTTGGGCTGTGAAAATAACCTTTCTGTTGATATTCTGTATCGTAGGTGGACGAACACGAACCTCCGCAAGGCGATTGCAATAATAAGGCGGTAACTTGTGATAGGAAACAAAATACTTACGGATAGTTTCATATTTCGAACGGTAAGCTATCATCTGATCTCATATTTATTCTCCTAGCACTAATTGAACCGCATTATGCACAATATAGTGATTCTTGTCATCAAATATACCTAATCATTCTTGTCAAGTTAGTGAACGTGGAATTGATTTTCTTCAAACCGGGTGGGACGGGCCCCCAGTCCTGTAGTGATTCAAATTTTAAAGTGTAAACATTGACCGTGAATATCCCTCACTCCCTCACCCACCACAGATGTGGTAATCTATGTATTTTCCCCATATCTGATCATTCTTTTTCAATGTGAACTTCAGGCTTGTACGTTCCCCTCAAGAAATACTGGAGGACTAACAAGGAGACTTTTGTTCTGTGCACGGACCAGAAGGGGCGCGGGAGTTTATTTGCCAGCCGCTCTCCGGTTTTATGTAGCCCGGCCGTAACAGCGGACAGATTATACACAGCTTAACCTATCATAATCAAGGTATTTCTCTACTAACCCCGGGTGAACGTGAAAAGGAAACAACAGGCGAGGTTGGACCCCGACTTACCCATTTCCATATATTTACATATATCTATATAGCTGGTTATCTCACTGAGAACTAGAATTAACGAAGTTTGTCACCAATATCGATCAAACGAGCCGTAGAACCTCTGAAATCCACTAAATAGCTTATTCAGTATAGTCTATGTGGTATTTGTGGATAAAAAAAATATTAGTAAGTATTATATTGTAAGTACATGGTAAAGTGTTATGAATGTCTGATATTCTTATAATTATAACCTTTCCTGACAACTTGTTGGTTTATATACACATTAACTTTGAACTACTGTATTCAGCTTAGATATTTATAATTAGTGAAACATAGTTATTATATAAATAATAAACATAGTTGGACTTGTTGATTTATATAAGCAATAACTTAAAACTACTGAATTCCTATGCTTTGGTATCTAAAGTGGATAAAATATACTTATAACATTATCTTAATTTTTTGGTTTTCTTTTATTGTTCCCCCGGTGCTCTGAGTAAGCTAGTAAAGAGCTGTGGAGGGGAATTTAACATCACAGTACTAAATTAGTAAATAAATAAATAGTTCTTATGGTAGTGAGACTGCATAGCAGATTTTCAGCTTGAATTGGAATAACCATTTGGATAAATATACCACTATGGAATATAGGAATGATAACAGGGTAGAGTATAACAAATTTTACTTAAGTGTCAGCTAGATCTTCAAAAAATTATCGACGTTTTAACGTTATAGATATGTCAAACATGCTTCTAATTTGGCAATACGAAAGACAGGTAATTGCCCGAATTGCATTCAATCGGGCTCGCTCTCTAGCCGCGGCTACACTTCGCTACAACGTGTAATTTTTTTGCGTTTTTCCAGACAAAAAGCCCGGTAAGTTTTTAGATAGTACAAAAAATATACGAGAAGTATTAGAGACAAGACGTGTCATTCCATTCGTAAGTACAGTTTTAAAGAAATAAATGTAAAAAGTGATTTAGTTTATTACTTATTTTGACAGCTGCTGTCATCGTTGACACATAATAGCTAAATAGCGAGATGAGACTACTTTAGTGCACTCTATTGGCAGCTTTTGCTAAGGGAAGTTAGGGCGGGGACTACCTTTGCCATTTAAAACTTCAATAATGTTGGCGTATAACCTGTCTATATATTATACGTCATTATATTGTACACATTTTTTTGCCAATCAAACATAAAGATAAAGCGTGCCAAATGCCAAAGTTTGAGAGTGGGGGCTCGTGACGTCACATTTTTAAGGAAAAATTGTACGAAAGTTGGTCAACATCCTTATTTGTTTGTAGTGCTGTGTTTTTGCTGATGAATAATTGAATAAAGTTCCAGTGCTCCACGAGATAGAGAAGGGGCGGACGAGTGTGATATTATGGTGCCTTCGCTAGAGTCTATAATCTATGGTTTCCGCTTACTATCAGACGGACCCTATTCCTTTTTTATATGTGTATTTGTTAGTTTCCCATTTAACAAGCTTAGAAACTATAAACAATTAAAAATCATCAATACAGGACAGTTGCGGGTGGTTAGCGCGTTTGGCTGCGATCGTTGAAGTTAAGCAACTTGCGCAGTGGTCGGTTATTGATGGGTGACCAAAAATCTTCTATCTCGAGTTCCTACGTGCTTCGGAAGGTTAAGCAGTTGGTCCCGGCTGCATCTGCAGTCGTTAACACCCGCCAATCTGTACTGGGCCCGCGTGGTGGGTCATGGCCTAATCGCCCTATTACATCCATAAGGAAGGGCTGTGCTCCAAGCAGTGGGGACATTAATGGGCTGATGATGACGAAAATGTATTGTATACTGACTGGTATATGTTCTGCCCGACGTGTTGCCTGGTGTGCTTCACTAGGTCGTTGCTCTGAGTGAAGGTTCGATCGCAGAACTTGCACTTGTATGGCTTCTCCCCGGTGTGAATACGAGAGTGCCGGGTCAAGTGATCCTTGCAAGTAAACCTATGGAGTAAATAAATATTTTCAACACTCACACCAATTAGCCTAGCTCCAAAGTAAGCACTGTAGGCTTGTGTTATGGCATGCTAGGGTAACGAATAAAATACATATACTAATACATATATATATATATTAGTATATTTATAAAGAAATACATATTAACATCCATGACTGGAGTACAAATGCTAGTATTTAGCACACAAACATCTGTCCCCACCGGGATTCGAAACAGGGACCTCTCGAGTAGGCGTCACCTTGAAACCCGGGGTACAAACCACTCGGCCACGGAGGTCAATCAGAGTATATCAATGGATGGTGGAATCGTTTTTTTCTTGTTCTGTTCAAGTATGAAAATATCAAGGCCCACCAGTGCAGCAGTTTGTACTCGGCTAAGAGGAGAGTAACCGTACGCAGTTTTATCCTCTTGTCAAAGTATATTTTAAATTGTGCATATGATAAAAAGCAATGTGCAAGATTTTGCGGCGTATTTATCATTGTTTATAACAGGCTATTTAACAGTATGAAAAATAAAGTACCAAATGTTGGCGTCTGTATTTACTATGAATGTAAGCAGCGATTTTACTACTCTGAGAGTACAAATAATTAGGTAATAACTTTTCTAAAATATCATGAAATAGAAATGATATTTCTGTTCTGTGGTCACGTGACCGCAAACGCTTGGGATCGGCGAAGACTAAAATGACGTCACACGCTGGCAAAATTCCCGCCAAAGTTACATTACATACATTTGACGTTTTAAAGACAGTCGCGCGACGTCACATACTAGTGACACGCAATATTGTCCAGAGAAATGTTTTCGCGGCAATTTGAAAATAAAATTTTAGATTTAGATTTTTTTACTTGAAATACACAACAGAATGATGTATATCCACTTTTTAGGGACACTATAAAAATTATAATAATATAAGTTATTTGCGGGATTGTTACCATGTACCTTGTTTAAGCGAGTTTCCGATATTTCGGCATTGTTGCAAGCGCCACGATGAGTGAATAGTGAGAATGTGAACAGTGGTACGGGTATCGCGTTCGATACCCGTACCGTACCCATGTCGGTCTACCCTCCTCCGACGAAGTCTTTTAATGCGTTCATTAAAAGACTTCGTCGGAGGAGGGTAGACCGACATGTCTGGTAATAACAGCCTACCCGAAATTACTTCAGTTACTCCGTGATCAAGGCACTTGCAACAGTGCCGAAATATCGGAAACTCGCTCAAAACATGGTACATACATTCTAAAACTTGTCAAATACACTATTAATTGTCGGTATTGCAGTTTTGTTTTTTATTAGATGTACAGTATATACAGAACAGCTCTTGAACTAAAATAATAATAAAACTTTAAAAAAGCATCTCAGGGCTTGCTTGCTTGTTGCTATACCTGATACAAGAATTTCCCTTTTGATATCCCGCCCGCGCCTTCGACCGCCTTAACTTTACATTTTTGAGAATCCCTCAGGAACTTAAAATGTTTTAGGGATAAAAAGTATCCAATGTGTCAATCCACGTTATTAAACTGTGCATTATGTTTCATACAAATCAGCCGTTTTTGCATGATTGAGTAACAACACAAAAACACTACAGCCCGCGACCTTGTTCGTGTTAACTTTAGTTTTTTGAGAATCCCACTGGAGCCTGTCATTTTTCTGTACCAAACTTCATCCAAATTCATTCAGTAGTTTAGGTGTGACAGCATAACAAACTCACTCACTTTCGCGTTTATAATATTAGGATAGCTAGGAAGGTAAAAAACTCAGTACCTCACTAATTTCATGGAAAAACTCACCGCATATTGCATGTTTCACAGGCGAAAGGCCTAACGCCGGAGTGGATCATACTGTGTTTCTTTAGAGAACTTGGTTTAGTGAATGCTGCACCGCAAACCTCACACTTGTATGGGTGAATGCCAGTGTGAGTCGTCATATGGCATGTCATTTGTCCTAATACAAAAAATAAATACATTATAAAAAAAAAGCTACACAAACACGATTACACCACTGAACTCCTAGTATTTAGCAAGAATTTAATTTTATTTCTCAAGATCCTAAAATATTTTGTATTGGATCTAGTTCATTTATTTTAATATTTGAGGAGCTGGCAAACAAAACGGTATAATTACGCATCTGGTCAAACTACTTTTTTTTACAGTCCAGAGGTATCGGGCCCGTTGAATTTGAATCTCAAATAATTTTCAATCAAAACCGCCTTAAACAGTGTTATAATTACTAATTTTATAAATTAAAAACCATGCCAAAAGCTCCCTGGAGGTATGTCATTCAGTTTTATACAGCTCCTGTAAAATTTAATTTTATGTCATTATACTGTTTTGTTCGCCAGCTCCTCAATTATGTTACTCCATACATTGGCTAGTTTCATACATGTGATGATAGCAAGGTTATATATTGGTATTTGTTCAATACTACTCTAATTATATTTCATTTTATATTTTTGTTAGACACATTTTTTATAATGACCAATAAATATTGAAATATCTTAATACAGTATAAGTAATTAGATTACCTTTTGTACAGAAAGTCTTAGGGCAAACTGAGCAAGCATAGGGCTTGAGTCCAGTGTGGCGCATCATGTGCTGGCGTAAGTTAGAGCTGTTGTTGAACCCCTTACCACACTCTGAGCAAAGGTATGGTGTCTCACCAGTATGCGTTCTCAAGTGGTCCTTTAAACTACATAGTTGGCTGAAAGCTGTAAAACATTAAGATCACTCTAATGGAAAAAAAAGGGAAGGAGAAATAAAATCTAAATTGTTAAGCAGAAGCTGCCAGTAATAATTTTTGTGGAAATGAGTTCTGCAGATATCCTGTGTTAAATGTGAATTTTATTCTTCATCAAAATCTACTCTGACTGATAAAATATTTATATTTTTACTTTGCAAATAATAATGTTTCATTTTTGTCTTTTAATTTCTTCATGAATTGTAGTTCCCCTCATGGGCCACCATAATATGTCTCGTAGTGGACATACAGGAGCATCTAAATGAAGCTCAAAACTGTTCTTCAACTTCAACTTAAAATTAAGACAGATATAATAATGCAATTATAATGGTGTAGATTCTGGCATGATTCTCTAAATCTAAACTTAAATTTGACAACAGTGTTTCCTTGTCATTCTCTATACAGAATGAACAAGAGAGACTGATGTTAACTTTAGTTTTAAGTTTAGAGAATCACACCAGAATCGACACCTTTACCTACCTAAGTCATTTGTATGTCAAAGTCTATGTGTGAACATAAATTGAATCAGTTTTATTTTATTGTATTAGGTGTTGTATGTCAGAAAGAAAATTACCTTTATTGCAATAAGTACACACATTGCCCTTGACAATATCATGCCTTTTCAAGTGGTCTCGTAATTGGTCTTGCCGTGAAAATATTTTAGGACACTTGTGGCATGAATATTTATCGGAGCTGTGTACATTTATGTGCCTCTTTAGCAGTGCTTTGATTTTATATTCTTTCTTACAAATATCACACTGAAACGTCTGTTTATTTTCTTTGCTTTTGTGTTTCTTCCTATGCATAGCCAAAGATCTACTTTTCCTGAATACCAAGTTACATTCAGTACATTTGAACTCATTTTCTACTTCATTTTCTAATTCAGTCTTAATTTCAACATCAGAATGGATTTTCATGTGTTCTATAAGGAGTGTTTCTGTAGTAAAATTCAGGCAACATAAATTACACTTATTATAATTGTTACATTGTTTAGAGATATGTTTATCTAAATATATCTGTTTCCGAAAAGATTTACCACAATATGGACATAATAATGATAACACATTATTATGTTTAGACAGATGCTTATGGAATTTAATTTCATTGGTATATTTTAGGTGGCAAACATGACATTCAAACTCTTTCTCAGTAGTCTGTGGTGACTCAACTTTTGTAAAAGCATCATCTGTGACAAAGTCTTCATCACATGTATTAGTATCGCCCTGATCAATTTCATCTTTAATTTCAGTTTTTACTACATTTTCATCATAAGCATTCCCTTTATTGAAATTGGCCACCAATGTTTTGTAACCTTCTTCAGCATCAAGGGCTTGTTTTCGGAAATTGTATATGAATAAGAGTGCTTTAGCACAATCTCTGCAAATATTTTGTGGTAGCCCATCATCAGCTGTAATCTAAAATTACCAAAAAACAGTTAAATAGAATTTTAAGACATTTCATTTTCATACCTGCTGACTATAGCAGCCTATATTTAGAAGTTAGTGTTTATGCTATTTAAGAAAAAACTATAGAAACTTTTTCCCTGAATGATATTTTATGCAATCTTTAAAAATGTTTGCTCTTACTTAAAATAACTTTTAAAATTCATTCATTTCAATATTACATACATTTCATTAAATTGTTTAACTTTCCAAAATGCTTATAACTAAGTAGGAAATAAAAAATATTAACCTGAATGGGTATAAAACCTATTCAGGTTCATATTTATTCTATCCTACTCCTCTCATACCTAAAATCATTAGTCATTAAATTTCTTCCGAATTCTTTTACCTATGAAATATCTAAGAAAGCAAAAACTAATTCATAAGGGTAACTTACTTGTATTGATAAACAATCCAGCAATAATTCAGATAAAGGAATATTGCAATAGTCTTCATCAAGTTCTAAGGGCTGATACAGATTAATTAAAGAAATATTATTTTTCATACAAGTACGACACGATGCAGTTATCTCAAGCATTATTTAAATTAACTGCACTAATCAGTATACATGCAAACTAAATCATATCACATGGATTTCTTTTCCATTAATATAGTGATTGAAAAGGTCAGTCTCGAAATTCTCCATTAGATTAGATTAGATTTCTTCAGTGATTGCTCCCGCAGGCTTTGGCCAATAACTGGTGTTTGTGTCCAAAATTTCTTGTCTAGTGAGGGCTTGTTTATTGTTTTTAACTCTGCTGTCGCTTAATGATATTCTCCATTCTCCGTGTTCTCCTCAAGCGAAGAACGTCAATGTCAAAATTGTCAGTCCTCTTTTTTTTTTAAGATTCTCCCGTTTTAGGGACGGCACTGAAAATAATGCCCATACAGCCTGGTCTTTAGTTATATTAATCTTTTTTTTACATTAGACTGTCGGTGTGAAGCATTCTAATGTTTCTTTGAGTGTTTGGCACGAAATGTATCTAGCTGTTTTTCTCGATAAGCTTCTGTGAGGTAGTCAAAACTATAACATAGTCCTCACAAAGGGTTGTTTTCTACAAACTCCAGCAAACACGTTCAAGTGTATTTGTTCGACAAAACATTTGGGCCACAGCCCTTATTTATGTTTTCGAACAATGTTTTGTTCAAAACATGGTGCAGCGGACACGCCTTCAGTAGCAAGTGATAGCGAAGCGAGTTAACATAACAAACACTACTCTTAAGCTAATGGCATGGACTTTATAAACGTGAAAAGGAGAGACTGGTGGCAATTCTAGCACGATTCTCTAGACTTTAACATTGGTCTCTCCTTTTCATTCTGTATAGAGAATGACAAGGATACACTGTTGTCAAATTTTAGTTCAGGTTGAGAGAACCGTCCTAGAATCGACACCAATGTTGCCTATTATTTGACTTAGCGGTTGCCAAAATAGAATAGTCAGAGTGAAAAGTTGCATTTAGGGTACGGCCACAGTGCACGCAGAATCAGATTGAAACTTGGCAAACAAGCGCGAGAAATAAACAGTGTAGTTTGAGCAGGGTGGCTATAGTGGCAGCAGGCAACTGGTTGCCCGCGCAGGGTTCGGAGTCAGTCAACCGGGGGGAAGCCCCCAAATCTGGCATCAATGCTCGCGTCCGCATCTTGTATTATCTGCCTCCACTGTGGCCATCACTTGTTTTCCTCAAGCTCACATCTCACGAGCCTGTTTTCTGAGTCTGAACTCTGAACCTGATTCTGAATCCGAGTGCACTCTGGCCGTACCCGTACCCTAAAATTGAACATACCCCCAAGGCTACGCTACGTTCTAAACCTACGCTCTGAGTGCAATTTTCATAGACATAATAACATATGGACGGAGCCAGAAGTTTGACAGCCTGAATGACGGATGGAATTGTTTTCTATGCATCTTTGACTAACCTGATCAGTGTACCTATAAGTGAAAAAGCAGTTGCCGTAAGCTTGACAATCTGAGTGTCGGTTTGATATAAAATCTATTTTAATTTATCGAAAAATCAATCTTGATACCAAATCACTCCGTCTCCTTGGTTCCCTGATTTATTAATGAACAAATTTCAAAATTCCTGCAGTCCTCCGATTTTTTTTTAAATTATCCCCACATGCCCTTATTGTTGTAGACTCCTTTCGTAAACCATAGTGTATGCAAGTATTAGTTAACCTTGAGTGATGTTGTCATTTGTCAAATTAATTAAATTATATTTTCCAACTGAAAAGCATGTTATTTCGTATTATTTAATTGGCGACCACGGACCTGAAAAAAAGACGGACGTAACCTCGTCTTATCTCGAGTGAAGCATGCAAATGGCCGCCCGCTTACAGCGTGTGCGTGATTTGAGGGTTGTCGGGTAAATCATCAATTTCCCTACTTTTTAAATCTCCCAAACTAAAACGTTGTTAACATTATGTAATCAAATATATATTATAAAAACAGGACATTTACCACGTGTTTTACTCGTTGTGAGCTCCTGATTATTTAGCAATTTAAACGGTTGCACTTCAGAAACATGATGTAGGTCTAACAAATTAATTTTTAGGAACACCGAGATAGAAAAGAAAGCACTTGTTATGTAAAAAGAACTTTATAAATGTTAGTGTCTTAATATTAAGTATGAGGTTAATAACATACATTAATATACTTAAATAGCGCAGATTAATGCTTAAAATAAAAATATAATAGACTAATATTGATATTTCTTCTTTCAAATGTAAGTATTTCATTCATAGAGTGAGTAGGTATTTAAAGACTGACAGAGTGAGGAAAAGAGATATCATGCCAATCCTATAACGTAGAAAGAGACGCAACATGATGTACCTTTCGTCTAATAATATATTTTTTGCAAGAGCCGCAGCGCCCTGTCAAGTCGTACTGAGATAAAATTTATTATGAAATTATGTGAAACTAAGAAAACAATAATGCATATAATAATAATAATAAATAAATAAATATAACACAACACAAATGTGCTTATTACAAACTGAATAAGTATGTGTTATGGTATCCTGTGTTTTAAGCATATCTTGATAAATCGACACTATCACTCGGAATCAAACACCGATACGCACACATGCACAGATATTTTTTGGGACAGTAGCGATAGGTACTCTGTCTATCTTTACATCCTATATCTATGGTTTCATTTGACATCGTGGTTTACCTACAATGCGAAGAAATGGCACTACCGTGCAGCCTAAGAAATACAAGAAAAAATTCGTCACGATCATTAAGTTCTCGGTAGCATAGCAATTAGTGCATCCACCCAGACAGGAGAAAATGCAGGTTCAAGTCCTGCTTGTAATTCATTTTGTAATAATTTTGGTTATCGTAATTTAGTTTCAAAAGTTTATTTGTATAGTAGTTCTGTTAACGGGTTTCAACTGACTCTATATATATAAAACTCAAAGATGACTGACTGACTGACATAGTGATCTATCAACGCACAGCCCAAACCACTGGACGGATCGGGCTGAAATTTGGCATGCAGGTAGATGTTATGACGTAGGCATCCGCTAAGAAAGGATTTTGATCAATTCTACCCCCAAGGGGATAAAATAGGGAATGAAAGTTTGTATGAAACTTTGTCAATTTTAAATCGATCGTGCTGAGACTTTGTATGCAGGTATAAGAAGAATCATAGATGAATGTCATTGTGTATAATACAACAATTCAGCTCTACACCGAAGCGAAGCGAGGGCGGGCCGCTAGTTTTTAATATTTTTATACATTTTCCGCCGTTTCAGATTCTTTACAGGCTCCGGTTTGAACGAAAACCAAACAACGTGTGCACTGCACACAGAACTGGGGGGTGATAGGTTCCTAATTGTTATCCCCTTTGCAGTATCGAATAATTAAAACCAAGTCATCTCTACGGTTTCTATTTCTAGGAAACCTATTAGAAAGAAGGCAAGACAATAATTTATATATAATATTCTATGAATAATATGGCTTCTATTCTTTTCCTTTTGGGATACGGAACCCTAAAAATTTACGAAATCTGATCTTGCCTAGTCACAAATGCAAGAAATACAAATTTCCCTTCTTTTAGGGAAAATTTCCCGTAAATAAAGTAGCCACACAGTTGTATTTTTGTTTACAATTTTCATCCTTGTAAATAAAATATAATATAAAAAAAATATCAAGAATCGTCAATACTTAAGCATAGTAGGTGATTCCTTGTGACTTTTCAAATTTACTCGTGTAGTTTTTAAAAGATTTCGCCACACAAGACGCCATTTTTTTAAAAATATATCGGAGCAATTGAACGTGTGACTGGGGCGCTGTCACGCGAGATCAAATGGCAGTGGATTGTCCGACCTGGTGCATTAGTGTGAGTGTAGGTAGTGTACAACACACGATTTTGTCTGACCTACATGTCATTGTCATGCTTCACATGATTTGCCTTTGATATTACGTCCGTCTTTTTTTCAGGTCCGTGTTGGCGACGAGGAGTATTAATAAAATGGATACAGAACAATTTAACAAATTTTTAGAAATACAACAAACGCAACAAAAACAGATTAACGACCTATTGAATATTTTACTACTACAACATAAGAATACAGTTCCGACAACGCCGGAGAATACAGGTACGACATCAACAGAGTGTACTTTATCGAACACAAAAATTAATATTATTAAGAAATTTGAATGTGAAAAATTTAAACCCGAATCAACAGATGTAGAAAATTTTGTGGAATATTTCGAAACAAAATGCGACATAATAGGAGAAGGTTATACTGAAACGCGTAAAGATTTATTATTCACATGCCTATCACCACAAGTATTCCATGAAATAAAAGTTGCACTCACACCCAATTTTCAAAGAGCGACATATGAGGATGTCAAAAATAAATTATTGGATTTATTTCGCACTAGAAGAACAAGATTCAAAGCATTGGATGATTTTTGGAACTCTACCCGAGAAGAAAACGAAAGCATGGAACGGTACGCCAACCGCTTAAAACATCTTAGTAAATATTGTGGGTACGACGGACCGTTGCTGGAAAGGCAGTTACGTGATCGTTTTGCCACGGGCTTAAACCACGCAAAACTTCAAATCGACCTTAAGCAAAAATGGCCAGATCTCCAAGAAGTATACGAGGGCAAAACGACAGAGGTAACGTTTGCACAAATCTTCGCGATAGCACAGTCTCGAGAACTTGCGGAACACGATGATGTCACACCTACCACGAGTGTTCATAAGGTCAACTACACACCTACCACGAGTGCTCATCAGGCCAACTATACATCTACGAGAGTTCATAAGGACAACTATGAGCAAAAAGGAACTCGCAGTGCAGGCCGGTTGCTGCAGCCCAATCAATGCAAGAGATGCGGTAAACGAGTCAAACACGACATACAACGATGTGCAGCCAGGAACCATACTTGTGAAGCATGCAATCAAGAGGGACACTTTGAGAGCTGTTGCATAAAATCCGGAAGAGCATACGTAAGTTTTAAAAAGCCGTACAATGTCAAACTTAACAAAATTAACGACATTAAGCATCGTCTGGACTCATCGTCATTAGATAGCGACAGCGACTCTGATGAAGAGAGTGGGCCAGCTGTGTATAAAATGCAAAATAGATTACGCAAGAGCAAAAGGGTCAATGTATACATAAATGGGCGACCTTGCACAATGGACTGGGACCCAGGTTCAGTATATTCAATCATAAGTGTTAGTTTCTGGAAAAAAATTGGAGCTCCACAACTGAGTAAGGCACCAACACTCCGTGCTTATGGCAATACTAAGTTGAAACCCAAGGGTCTGACAGATGTGACAGTACAAATTGATAGCGAAAAGAAGCTCTTACCTGTAGTTGTTATGGAAAACGCTACTCCAATGCTTTTTGGCCTGAATTAGAGCGAAAATTTCAACATGAGATTCCCAGACCAAGTATACTCAGTACAATTCAAACTCAAGACATTAAAAAACGTTTTAGCTGTACATCCAACACTCTTCGACGACAAACGGGAAAGTTAAAAATTATTTGGTCAACATACACATAAAGCCCGGGGCTGAACCTAAACATTTTCACCCACGCCCCATCAAGTTCTCCATGAAACGCAACATAGAGGTCGAACTAGAACGCCTAGTTAATGATAATATCATTTCAAAGGTAGACCCGAACATTACGCCGATAGAATGGGCAACACCAACCGTCAATGTAGTCAAGCCGAATGGTCAAATCAGAATTTGTGGAGATTTTCGTACCACCATAAACCCAGTATTAATGACACATGCGCACCCTGTACCCTTATTTGACCAACTGCGCCAAAACCTTTCAAATGGTAGTAAGTTTTCAAAAATCGATTTGAAAGACGCATACCTTCAATTTGAAGTGGCTCCGGAGTCCAGGATCAACGTTAAATTAATTAAATCGCAACGCACAAGGGATGCATGTCAATATAACAGAATGCCTTTTGGTATCTCAACAGCCCCATCTATATTTCAATACTATTTGGACCAACTCTTGGAGGGAATACCAAACGTAGCAGTCTATTTTGATGACATCGCTTTAACTGGTCGAAATGATAACGAACACCTACAGACCCTTGCATTGGTCTTTGACAAACTGGAACAAGCGGGACTTAAGGTAAATCTCAAAAAGTGCACATTTTTTCAAACAGAAATTGAATACCTAGGCCATACGATAGACAAGAACGGAATACATCCCACAAAACGAAAACTCGAGGCAATACTAAAAGCGTCACCGCCAACGAACACCAAAGAACTCAGATCTTTCCTCGGATTCATCAACTTTTACGAGAGATTTATTCCACATTTACACTCTATTTGCGCTAATTTACACACGCTTACAGGCAGCAGACAGCGATGGCGTTGGACTGAAGAAGAACAAAAAGCATTTGATAGGACCAAAGCCGCAATATCAAACGCTCAACCTCTAGTAGCCTTCAGCGACAAGCGGCCATTATACCTTGCTTGTGACGCATCAGAAAAAGGAATCGGGGCTGTGTTATATCACAAAAACAGGGATTTAATACAACCCATCGCATTTGCATCAAGGAAACTGAGGGCGCCAGAAAGGAAGTACTCTGTCATTGATAGAGAAGCGCTAGCAATCTTTTTTAGTATCAAAAAATTTGATCAGTATCTTAGGAACATAAAATTTACGCTAGTCACAGATCACAAACCTCTGATTCACCTACTAGGAACGCAACGAAACCTGCCAAAACTCGTCAATAACCGTCTAGTAAGGTGGGCACTGCTTATCGGGAGCTACCAATATGACATCACGTATACAAGAGGTGGCAATAACTTTCTGGCTGATTTCCTGTCATGCATGCCGAGCTCCGAGGAGCAACCTTCGAAAGCTGAACAGAACGTACATCGTATCGAAGCTCGGCACAACACCGTCAAAATTATTGACCTTGCCTTAACGGAGGATACGATTCGCACGGAAACAAAGAAGGACAATGTATTAAAACAAGTCTTACAGCATATTAAGGATGGGTGGAGAGAACAAACGAATTCCAATGACCTTAAGCCTTTCTTACGAAAACGCAGTGAGCTGTCAGAAGAAAGTCGGATCATCATGTGGCAAGGCCGAATTGTTGTACCAGGGTCCCTACATAGGGAAGTATTAAAAGTTTTACACAGAGGCCATCCAGGAACGTCGGCAATGAAGGCCCTTGCGAGATTTCACGTATGGTGGCCGTCAATCGATGAAGAGATCGAGGCATACGTAAAGCGTTGCCGCAAATGCCAAGAGAACAGACCCAACAACCCGGAACTGCCAGTGTATTCGTGGTCTGTACCGGATAGAGTCTGGGAAAGAATACATTTGGATTTTGCTGGACCGTTTGAGGGTAAATTTTGGCTCGTGTTAGCGGACGCTCTGTCAAAGTGGATTGAAGTAAAGCCAATGACGAGAACAACAACAGCACATTTATGTCAAGAATTGGACGATATTTTTACAATTTTCGGACTGCCACAGTTTATTATGTCTGATAATGGACCACAGTTTATTTCGCAACAGTTTCAAAGTTTTTGTAATGAACGAGGCATCATTCACATGCGATCCTCCCCGTACCATCCTCGTACGAACGGATTAGCCGAGAGATTAGTGCGTACGTTCAAAAGCAGAATGTCGTCGAGCACTAATGAGTCTGATGGTTTAAGGGCTCGGTTAAACAAGTTTTTGCTGTCTTATCGCACGACCCCACATTCAACAACCGGGAAAACACCGGCACAGCTGATGTTTGGTCGACAGATTCACACAGTTTTGGATAACATTCGTCCTAGTAGTAAACGAGATCTACAGCATAGGCAAATTAAAGCGAACATTGAAGCCGATGGGAAGAACAAAATATTTGATGTTGGAGAGACGGTTTATTGTCGTAACAGAGATAAACCAGGGTGGAAACCGGCATCTGTTGTGCGCCGGACTGGCCGATATTCATATATTGTTAACACTGACGACGGTACACAGCATCGTTATCACGCTGACCAGATAAGATCGCGTTTGGCCACATTGGATAACGCGAATGCAGAGACTGGAGACAATCAAGAGCATACAGAGAGCATATCCTCACCGGCTCTTGTTTTGACACCGCCGTCAGAGATTGATGCACAGCTGGACGTGACACAAACTGCAGCATCAGTACCAATCCCTAATAATTCAATCACGCCCACTGCTGCACGGATGACACCCAATACACCGATTCGTCTAGGTACCCCACTGCGTCGCAGTACTAGGATGAGATGCGCGCCACGGCGGCTGATTGCAGAAATGTCTTAAAGAAGAACGGGCGGGACGAATGTTGTAGACTCCTTTCGTAAACCATAGTGTATGCATGTATTAGTTAACCTTGAGTGATGTTGTCATTTGTCAAATTAATTAAATTATATTTTCCAACTGAAAAGCATGTTATTTCGTATTATTTAACTTATAATATACTTGATTCGTTTTTGCGCTTTCGCCACAAAATTCATATATTTTTTACGTAGTACTCAATTTTGGCTTTTCCCAGGACCACTCTCAATTATTGACAGTTCACTCAGAGAGACACTCTCCAAAATTCTTAATTGCTCATTTACCGATAATGCTTGGAAGCAGGCTTCTCTCCCTGTTCATTTCTGAGGTCTAGGTACCCGCCATATTTCCCATATTGCCCTTCCCGCTTTTCTGTCTTGTGCATACGTTACAGCCGAACACTACGCTCAAAGAAGGGCATAATATAAAATATTTCGTAGCATAGTAGGTATAGCGTAGTGGAGTTGGCTCACCTTGCATAGGCCAGAAGCGCATAGTTTAGGGTATGCCCAGGAGTGGATCCACTATCCTCGTTATCGTCTCGGAGGCAGTGGGACGAGATCACGAGACGCTCTGTTTGCGTATTCAGAGTGATCTTTTAGCATCCTTTAAAAGAAACGCCACTGAGCGTGCTCGCCTTTTAACGGTATTTCGGGCAGTCTGGTTACTGGCTGCAAGCTTTACCTTCAGCCAATATCGGGACTTTGCTTGACAAGAGCACAGTCAAGACAAACCATCCCCATCGCTGTCGCTGCGCTACCCGTGTCAGTGAGTTAGGTAGGACACTATAGCCTCTCATGCCAAATGAGCGCTGGCCGAGTCTCCCGCCACACTTGGCATCAATGACGTCATCCGCAGAGCTCTTGTCGCTGTCAATGTACCAACAGCCCTTGAGCCTAACGGCATATTTCGTGACGATGGCAAGAAACCTGACGGTATGACGCTCATTCCCTGGAATCAGGATCATCCTCTTGTATGGCACACAACTTGCGTGGATACACTTCCTCCGTACCATACAGGTAGTACCTCCCTAGCTGCAGGAGAGGCACGACCTCTGCCGAGTGCTCTGAGCGGCGCAAATATTCCGCTCTCAATGAGAACTACATATTTGGGCCGTTTGGTGTTAACACTATGGGCCCATGGGGTCCAAAGTGCTCGTTCCCTTTTTAAGGAACTGTCAAAGAGGCTCACTGAGACGACTGGTGATCAAAAGGCTGGCAGCTATCTAGGTCACCGGATCAGCATTGCCATCCAACGTTGCAATGCTGCCAGCCTATTGGGCACCATTCCTGACGGCGGCGCTGGGGGTGATAAATTTTTTATTTTGTAATTTATATAATAAATAAGTAATTAAGTAGGTAAAATTTACATTACAAATATCCATATATTTGGAATGTAAATTTTAATAATCATTGTATTTTTTAAGTATTTGTTATTTAAATGTATGTGTAAATTAAATACACAAAATTCCTGAACTATTTATCGAACATAAGTCAAATTTGACATTTGTTGCACATGGAGCGTAGGTTTAGAACGTTTATAGCACAGTATGTTATTTTTGTTCATGATCGTTCTATTTAATTTTTTGTACCTACAGGAAAGGTACCAATTAACTTTTTTTTTTCTGTGCAATATGGACAAATTGGTATTTATTGGTGACTGGGTTAAAGATAGAGTTTTGGGATCAGGCAGTTTCGGTATAGTTGTACTTTGGAAACATCAGAAGACTCAAGAAAGACTCGCTATCAAAACTTGTAAATGGGGCGAGGAACTCACAGATAAACACAAAGAAAGATGGACAAAAGAAGTGGAAATTCTCAAAACTTACCACAACCCTAACATTGTCGGAACAAAACCTTTACCCCCAGAACTAGAGGAAGGTTTACACTCTGTCAATCCTTCTAAATTGCCTATTTTATGTATGGAATTTTGCGCTGGAGGTAATTTAAGACAACACTTGAATCTAGCCGAATCTTGCAATGGTTTGAGAGAAGTACAAGTTCGTCAGATACTAAAGGATATGGGGAATGCTCTTCAATTCCTCCATAGTAATAAAATTACACACAGAGATGTCAAACCAGAGAATATTGTCATACATGTTTTAGAAAATGAGAATGGAATCCAAGGTAGGAAAAAAGTTGTATATAAACTCATTGACCTTGGTTATGCCAAAGAAATTGATTCAAATTCTGTATGTGCCAGCTTTGTAGGGACTTTGCAATACCTAGCCCCAGAAATATTTTACAGTAAAACATATAGCAACTCTGTGGACTTTTGGTCTTTTGGGCTCCTAGCATTTGAAGTGATTTGTGGCACTCGGCCCTTTCTTCCGTTTATGGCCCCTGTGCAGTGGATGCCGCATGTTAAAGCCAAAACACATGACAACATATGTGTGTATGAAACTTTTCATGGTGATATTAAATATTCAAATGAAATATTCCCTGAAAATCATATATCTAAGCCCTTGAAGATTTTAATTGAGGAATGGTTAAAGGTAGCTCTGGAATGGGATCCAAAACTGAGAGGAAGAGATGCTCCTTCTAAGGTAACATTTAATATACCATCTGAAGAAAAGGGTATCACAACAAGCAACATTATTGTTTTTAGTCTACTGGAAAATATTTTATCTAGAAAAATTCTTAAAGTATTTTCAGTTCCCACATTGACACAGCATGCATATGAAATTTTTGACACAACTACTTCTGCTACATTGAAAAATTGGATTGAAAAAGATTTAGGCATTGCTCCTGTGGACCAAATATTAATTTCCCAAAATAACTATGCAAATATTGATAATGACAATGTTCTTGTAAAACATTGGGATGACAGTGGTACTTACATAATATTTCTGTTCAGTAAATCATATTTAATAAAAGAAAATACAGAAGTCATAGTGCCCGAACTGGTCCAGCGATATACAAAATCTTCAGTGTCATTGGAACTCCTACAGAATTTTAAAAACTGTCAGAATTTGTATAAGAACAGTTTTTACTTTGTTATGACTCAGATGGAAACTTATGATTCCCTTATTAAAGGGTTATTTGTCAGAGCAGAATCACTTAAAAATGAGAGTAAAGATTTACTTCTTAGACACAATGAAGTAGATAAGGCTATAGGTAAACTACTTGTTAAGGAAGAAACTATTAAAAAATTCAGTGAACAAGGAAAAGAACATATATGTCATTTGAAAGAAAATGGATTAAGCACTAATGTTTTGGGTGGATTTGAGAAACTATTTATAGAAGTAGATGAAGTAACTGAAGACATAAGTAAATTACAAAGTGCATGGTCTCAGTTGACTGTCAGAGTTGAGTCAGCAGCTAGACGTCGTATTGAAGGCATTCCCACAGAACTGAACACATTTGTTACCAAATACAATTATCAAGCTCTTTTCACTAGAGCTCAAAATACTTATGTTGCATACAAGAGAGTTGAAAACTTTAATGATTCTAAAAGCAGAGAAAAGGTGATTGACATTATACAAGTTTTCAAAGATTGTATTAAATTAAGAAATAAAATACTTGCTGAAATGCGTCATCAGCCATTTTATCTCAAAATAATGGACTTGAGTATTGAACTTTCTAAGATTTCGGAAATTATTACAAATGCTTCAGGTCATGCACAACAGATAAGCAGCCAATCAAATTCTATCATGGAAAAGCTTTCTAAATGCATGTGGTCTACAATAAGTCTATTAGCCGGTGATGCTAATAACATAGCTGATCTTCCATATAGTGTTGTTTCAATACAGAAAAGTAATTTTAAAATTGGGGAACCTGTGTCTAGTCATTGTATGAAAATTGTAGACACCAATAATGTTAAAGAAGATGAGGAACTTAAATCACTCATAGAAGAAAGTTTGAAACTAAGGCAAAGTCACATTCAACTGACAGAAAAAATTAAACTGTCTAAAAATTTGTTAGACAAAAAGACTAATTTGGATTTTAGCTTTTTAAATGATCAATAACATTTTATTGTTATATGCTAATGCATGCGTGGTTTGAGTAGGTATTTTGATATTTTTTTGTTTCATTTATCAAAATCATTTATTGTTTACATATTACATATTTTGTCATAGACAACTTTTTCAATAGTGTTATGTCAGTAACATACGTAAAGTAAGTACCCAATGTTGACATGTGCAAGAGTAATGAAATCACATAAATCTAGTCTATTCTGTTAAGTGTTTATTAGGCAGTAAAATTGAATATTTGGTGCTATTTTATAATAGATTTTTTAGAAATATAGATATATATGATATTTTGTTACTCATACAAAAATCATTGTTAACAAAATGTGAGTAATATTTTTTTATTAAGATTTTATATAAAATACAGTACACAAAGCTCGTTTTATCATATTTGTTAAACTGCTTTTTATAAATGATATTAAAACACTTCAATGTTTATTATTATATGTCGAAGTAATGCACTTTAAACCAATATTATCTCCAACAGATGAGCATATCAATTAAGTCAAGTGTTGTCGGAAAGAAAGCTGTATACCCTGTTTACAACATAGATCAGGGGTGCTCAAACGGTATGATCGACTGTTAATTAACTGCTTAACCATAATATATGCTACGGTACACCCTACCTAGGTAGGTAGGTGGGGTGTATCGTGTATGTACGACAACCCTGCATCACACACACTTGCAGCCTCAGAGTCGATCGTAAGTAGTCAAAAAAATTTGAGGTAGAACGCCAGCAGTTCAAGTTTGAGCACCCCTGACATAGATCAATTGCCTATAACTGTAACAAATTATCAAGACGAAGGAGTAATAAGGTTGCAATGATGTAATACGTAAAAAGAAAATTTAGTCAAAGGCAATATGAATATCAATCAGCTCATATTTATTTATATAAAAATCAATTGCTGTTCGTTAGTCTCGCTAAAACTCGAGAACGGCTGAACGGATTTATCTTATCTTGGTCTTGATATGTTCGTGGAGGTCTAGCGTAGGTTTCAAAGGTGAGAAAAATTCGAATAGCTCTACACCGAAGCGAAGCGAGGGCGGGCCACTAATTTATAATAAAATTAAACTGAAACTTAAACAATTACAAATTGAACTTGCACAAAAGCAAAAAAAACTTTATCAAATGGGCTTGCCACTATAAAATATGATGATACAGAAATGTTATTTTAATAAACAAATTGATATTCATACCTTTTTTCTGCCAAGGAGCTAATAATCAGGTAAACGTATAAAATAAACACACACCTAATAAACAGGAAACATTATTTATTTTTTCTTTGTAGTTAAATTGTAAAAATATATCTGTTTACACATGCTTCAGTCTAAGTATGGTATTGTTAAGGAAGAGCGAGGCCACCTGATACAAGTACCTATCTTAATATGCTTACTAGGTTGGTCTCCACCTCTGATATTGGTGTCGATTCTGGCGTGATTCTCTAAACTTAAAACTAAATTTAACATCAATACACTGTTGTCAAGTTTAGGTTTAGAGAATCTTATCAGAATTGTATACCTTAGAGTAAGATACTCAAAGTTGTATACTGACGACTGTAATAACGTAAATAAAACGTTGTTTGATTTGATGTCACTGTTTAATAATCATACGGAGAAGTGAAATCAGACAACCATTTTTTAAAATCAATAAATATTTTATGCAATTGTTTAACGTCGGCCGGCGTCTGGAGATATTCGTCTGGGGCGAATCTAGGGGTAGATGTTGCGCTAACATGCAACCAAATGGCCAATATTGCATCTTCCTCATTTGTGACGGGGCGCCTACACAGCCGCGCCGAATTCATGCAGATATTCAACAGCGATTCCAAGCTTCCAATTGCTACACCTCGCGGCCTTTCTTTGCGCGCCGCCAAGAAGTACTTCTTCAGTTGCTTCTCCGAGGCATCGTCTAATTCCACTTTTATACCAGCTACTAAATCAATGTAATGTGCAACATCTTTCATAGCGTCTTTTTCCTCTTTATTGTCATTGCTGGGGTCTATAGCTTTTAAAAGCGAAAACTCTGCAATATCATCTTCATACTCGCCATAGTCGCCACGGCAAACTGTACCAAACACACTAGCAACGTTGTTTACATTTATGTTCTTGAAGTTCATTCCGTGTGCCCATATTGCACATCCAAGTTTAATTCTACCTGTATTATGAACGATTTCTCCACCCTCGATAGAGGAAAGAACAGCAGTGGTTAACTTTTGATGGTACGTATGTAGAGGTAATGGCAAAAAGCATATTCCACCGGTACTTGCCACAAGAGCGGAACTTACGGATGTATTTGAAGTTCCCAGTGAGACGGACGTGTCAGCAAGCTTGGCTCCATCTTGCATTATAGCTGCTACGAATGAAGTATCATAACCCGCGGCCAGTACGTGGATAATACTACTACCGGTTAATACATTAGCTTTGATGCTGGTCAAACTTAGTAACAAACTTATTTTCAAATGCATAAAGCAATTTAGTGGACAAATATTAATGCCAATTGTAGATGCCAAGCAGTAAATGAACTTCCATGGTATACCAACGCAAACATCGAACAATTCCTTTATATCACCTGGAATAACAGCAGTAATTGGAGCTGGTAACTGCTCAATAACTTCCACTGACCAAACTTCCGTCATTTTCTTTAGAACAATCGCAGTAACATAATGATTTTGACCGAGCTTCGTTTTCAAAAATAAATCGTCAACAACTTTGAATTTTTTTGGCATAATTTCACCTTTTACTTTAAACGTAAGTATTATTTGTTCCCCACACTTTCTCAGACCACTGTTTTCGTAAAGATTACTTCTGCAGATTGCACATTTCGTGGGCGTTTTTGGTATACCGTACAATATAACGTCACTGCCCTCACACTCTTCTGGACATGACCATACAGTATGATACACGTAAGGCAAAGGATTGGAAACATCAACAAGTCGCCCTTTAAAAGTTATAAGACTTTGATAAGCACCCTTACCGGTTTCTATCATAAGCGGCGATGTATTCTTTAGTCTTAATAATACAGCAACTTGATTCGTTTGGATAGAATCCGTCCAAACTCCATCTAAGGATCGTAAACAAGCTCGTAGGATATTATTGCACATACTTTGCCACTTTAGAGGTTCGGTTAATAGCAAATTACCTAAGTCTGGTAAAATATTAAGTAATTCCATTACATCAATCTCCAAATAATACCGAAATGGCGGGAATTTGAACAAAGTTTCTAATGTCAAACTGTTAACAAAATTCTCAGAATGAATTTTCATATCGTTTAAAATAAGATGTTTATCTAAATATAGTAAAAGTTGGTTCTGTAGTTCCATTTTTACTAAAAAAGTGTTAATTTAATTAAATGACTATTCACCAGGTTACTTATATTTTATTTGAGTCCTGGGTTTAAGTCTGACCTTAACTGAACACTTTTTTTTATCTAATGTATAATTTTAAATTCCGAACAACCTTGCCTTTCCTCAAGATGCAGCACAAAACCACACAAAACGGTATTTGATTACATTTCTCTATGAATTGGTTGCTGAAAGTAGACGAATTAAAAAATATATAATGGAACCATAGATAAATGATTAGTCGCTAGTGAAGCGAGACCAAACATTTCTATGAATGAAACTAAAAAAATATTTATATATATTCAATGATATATTATTTCTGTACTATCATTGTCATTATTTATTACTTTTTGTTTGGTTATTAAATTTTCATAACTTTTGACAAAATACCGTTTTCTGTACTTCAGTAACTATGAACAGGTATGCTTTTATGGTTCCAATCTGCATTGGACCCACGTAGAAGGTCTCAATTTGCCTATCTCATCCATCCGCAGGAAAGCCCTGTGACTTTGCAGAGGGGTGATTGAAGACTGAGCTAGATGATGATATAATTATGCATAATATTCTACAAATTATTATTTACCTTCTAACTTCTAGTTCGCGCCTTCTACTGCGTCGCCGACGACGTCTGCGTAAAAGTAATTAGTTTCTTAAAGAAAATGCGAAATTATATTTCTCAACGAAATTGGCTTGAAGATCTTCTTCAACTCTCTATCAAACGGCTTAGGTGTAAAAGTGTACGAAACTTACCATAGACCAAAATAACAACAACGATTAAAATATTATGTTAGTACCTTAGTAAGTACAAACGATTGCGTCGATAATTTTGTGACATTAAAGGCGCCTACACATTAAACCTTAGCCCACGCTTCAGTTAAGCAAGGTCAGTAAAGAATTATTAGCCATCGGCGACCCAGTCGTAAGAACGGAAATGCCGATTCGAGTATGCAAATCATATCAAACTTTATATCTTCAATTATATAGATAAGTTAGGGCTCACGGCTCGTGTTCAGTTGTTCATTCATTGTAACCGCGTATGCTGACGCTCGAAAGTGTTTTGCACTGGTAGAGAAAAGGTGTAAAAGTATTTTTCACATTACGGCACATTACGGCTTCTTTCATTCAAGAACTTATGATTAAACCATTATTATACTACCATGATGCCCATGATTATACTTTACATTTTTGAAAATACCACAGGAACCTAACATTTTTTCAGATAAAAAGTGAATCCAGGCAATTAACTGCTATATGCGTACCAAATTTCATCCAAATTTGTTCAGTGGTTTTTGCGTGTTTGAGTAACAAACACACAAACTTTCAAAATATAATATTAGTAGGATCATAAGATGAGATGATAAGATGTATGTATGGATCATGTCGCATTAACCATGCCTTATGAGTGTGTGCAACCATGCATCTCGAGTGATGCCAGTGGAGATGAGTCTGCTCTTTGCTATATTTGATATCTATTATTTATTTTATTTATGGGTATGGGTAACTTAAAATTCCACAATATTTACAAGTTACACAAATTATTTTTACAACATAACACTTCTGTACACTAAATAATAATACAGGGAGAACAGTCATTTTTGGGTTTTTTGCCACTTCTTCTCAATCGTTTAAAATGAATTCCGTTCTCCTTTGGTCACGCCATAACTTCAGAATGACTTAATCATACCGATTTCATCCCCCTTTTTTAAGTTTTCTAATACTTTGAGTTTTATGTACTAACATAAAACTCAGTAATTAGGTAGGTGTACAAACTATTGTATACATTACCTAGTTTTGTCCTTAGTCACTAATTTTGTTAGACATATGAGTAAGACCTATGGTACTTCATAAACAAGACTCTTGGAGAAAATTTAGAACAACTTAAAGGCACACCTTGGATTTTGGGTTTACCGTAAATATTTTTAACCGGACAGGACAACGACTGTCGAGCTAATACTATATCTATGAATGAACAATTTTTTTATATTTATTTAGGTGCCCATTCAGTTTACATCTAGGCATCTTAGTTAATCGTGTTAATTACTGTATGGTACAAAAGTAACAATACTACAACGTAAAGGGACTATGTTAAAATGGCGTGCTCTGTACAATCAATAACTTATTTCACTTCTCCTCATTACCTAAAAGAACGCTTCTCGTTTCTCTCTTCTACTTCACAGCGCACTTTGCGATCTTCTTCTTACCTATCTCTTGAAATTCCAAGTCATTCTACTGATTTCTTTTCCTATTCCTTCTCTGTGCATTCTGTAGGTCTATGGAACTCTTTGCCAGAATCTATTCGAAGGGCTCGCACTCTGAACTCGTTCAGGGATCAAGTTCGGAGTTATTTCTTATCCCAACAGTGATGTAAAAAAATTCCTTCATCCTCTCTCTTTCCTTCCTTAGATATATCTGTTTTCCTGCCATTGATATTATTATTATTTTTTATAACACCCCTCCTTTTCTCCTTCATATTTATTTATCTTTCTTTTATGGGTTGCCTGGAAGAGATTGCTGCCTAGCAATAAGGCCGCCTATATTGTGTACGTTCTATGTTTTTTAATTTACTTGTGTTTTCTTGTATGGTGTATTACAATAAAGAATATTATTATTATTATTTTATGCGCGAGTGTACATGAACGGAGCGGGGCAAGTGGGCGGAGTGAGCGTATTTTTTAAGCGGAATTCGGGCGCGGGCGGCATCCATCCACATCGCGTGGGGTTGACCGCGGCGGCCGGCGTCGCGAGCGCACGGCGCACTCCATGCCCGAGCACGACAAGTACCAGCTGCGTCCGCGGGCAACGCGCGCCCGCGAGCCGCGCGCGCGCCGCACGCCGCAGCCGCTCAGCAAGTACCGTAGGAAAACCGCGAACGCCCGCGAGCGCAGCCGCATGCGCGAAATCAATCGCGCGTTCGAAACGCTCCGTCGCGCCGTCCCAGCCGCCGCGATCACCGGCACACCCGTCCCGTGCGAGAAACTCACCAAAATTACCACCCTTCGCCTAGCCATGCGCTACATAGCGGCTCTAACTGCCGCTCTGAGTGACTCTCCAGACACAGATACCAGGCCGGAGCGCTGGCCGTCGCCTTACTGCTCGGATCTGTCCGAGTTCTCGACGGAATTAGAACAGGAGACCACGTCGGAGTTCGCCGAGGATTCCCTGTCGCCGTTCGATTCGTTCTTCGCGGAGTTCGACTACGAGTACATAGACAGGACTTTTGCGTGACACCCAGTGCAGTGATTTTGTGATTTTAAGGACTTTTTTGTAATTAGGTATTTGTTACGACCACTTTGCCATATTACAAATATTATTTTAATGATAATTATTACCTATATTTTCTACATTATATGAAGTTGTATTTTGAGATTTATTTATTTTATAATAAATTTTAACTGTTATCGTTAAGTTTTGAATTATGATTTATATTATTGCAACTTAGTACCTACTTAACCCATAAACCTGGATAGTCATCTTAAATCGTAATTCTTAATTAAATTTAAACGAAAAAAAAAATCATACCTAATAAGCAATTTGGAATTCATTACAAAAATCTTGATTTTTAAGCCCAGACGTAAAACGACGGGTATTTTTGTAAATTATATTTATTTGTTAATATGTATTTATGGTTATCGTCGCTTTACACGAAAGCATGGCAGCTTCGCCAGTAGGTATGAAAAAAAAAGGAAAATATATTATACTATAAAAAACCGGCCAAGTCGTGTCCCGCACAGTATAGGGTTCCGTAGATGTCTGTCGTTACCACAATATATATATACGGAAAATCCTGCATATAGGATCCTGAGCATGATTTTCCGTATCGGGTTTTTTTTTAATTTCTTTTACATTGCAAGGTTTTACACTACAATCACTTCATCTACATATGTCACAATTAATGTTTTTTTTAAGGAATTTTCAATAGGATAGAAAATTTCTTTAACTAGAGTTGAACGACTATTACTCTTAAACTAACATATCTGTCTTAACCGTAATAATTTTGGTAAAAAGTTCATGAAAAGCACTATTATCATGTAATTTTCCAGGTTTTTCAAGCTAATAGTTTAGCTTTTACAAAGGAAGGGGGGAGGGCTTAATCGAATTAGTACTAAAGTTCAATATTTGGCAACCGGATCCCTTAATCGAAAAATAGTCTTAGGAACCCTAATTAATTTTAAAGGACCTATTTGACGAGACACCACACGATGGGATAGACATTGAAAAAAAATCACCTAAGTTTACATGTAGAGGATCTAACCTTAAAATTTTTTTTTCAAAATTTTATTCTACCATTTTGTCGGTGTGATTGATATACATATCTCCACACAATGACAGCTCTCTAGTGCTAATAGTCTCCTAGCAAAACCGGGGACGGACACATACGGACATGACGAAACTATAAGTGTTCCTTGTCATGACTACGGAAGTCTAAAAATGCCAATCCTATTTCAGGATTATCATATTCCGGATATATATAGTATACAGGGCGTCCCACGGCTACCTCACACGGAGGGAAAGTATATTAATTATTGAAGATAGGATATTTTACTGAAAGAAGACATCATTTTATTTTTAATAATAACTGCATTCACAGATTTTTTTTAAAATCGCCTGCTACAACTGTTGCGTTTTACCCTTTGGCTACGGAACTCTAAAAAGCAAGTCTTTTTTAATTTTGCATTAAATGCGGAATCACCTGTCATGGTAATCAAAATTTAAGAATAAAAAAAAATCAACGTATTCATCAATCAATTCCATCCCCTCTTCTTTTTTTTTGAAAAACCGATCGATCACCTTAACTCTGCCTATTTTTATCTTCTCTTTCATAATGAAGACAATTTAAAAAGCATTTTTAGAAGTACGCACGCTTACGCATTCGATCTCGGGGGCGGTTTTTATTGCTTCACCTGTTGTCTTTAAGTATTTGGTATCGCAAAGAGAGTGATATAAGAGCTTTAAACTTTTTCAATCAAACTCGTCAACTTCAGATTTTTGTTTCTTAGGTTTTCACGCAAATCACTCATTAAATAAAACTAGTTTTAACGGCTTAACTAATGATTTTTGAATTCAAAAAATCTATCTGACGAAGCAGACCTGAAAAAGCTGCGAAACGTCAATAAATAAATAAAGTTTCGTGCATTAACCCGTTCAAACTCGTCAACTTCACATCAAACTTCATCAGTTAATTGATGTAGTATCTTAAGTGCGGCGACAAAAGATCTTCTACGTTAAGCAATATCGAATCTGAATAAACTTTATTGAAGGTCAACTTTTACAACAAATTGAATGCTATAAAATATTCTAGATTATGCATAACATAGGTTGGCATTTGTCATCAACGTCATTTCAGTAAGAACTTATTAGTTTATCTATTCTGTGAGCTTAATCACACTAATAATAAAAAGGCGAAAGTTTGTGAGTGGTGTGTATGTTTGTTACTTCTTCGCGTCTAAACTGCTCGAGCGATTTTAATACAATTTGGTATAGAGTTAGCTGACACCCTGGATTAACACATACGCTACGTTTTACTGCGGGAAAATATCCCTAACAAACCACGGGGCACAGCTAGTTAACAATACTTTGTTTATGGTGACAATGACAAACAATATCAGCAAGAATGGTTGGATCACTGGTGACTGCTCCCAATATCCAAGTTGCCCAATGGTGCGGAATAATCGTACCTACCGATTATGTAAATACGCCTCCGGAAGCGTGGGCCCACCTTCATCGAAGGCGGAAAAGTCACAACTCTCATCATCATAAAGAAGGCACTGGCAATAGCTAACGCAATGCGCGTGTATGCGTGAGCAATGCTGGCCTGTCGCTGGCCGCTGCCAATAGAATCGTTTCTCTGCGCTCGCCACCCAGTGCTCATCACACAGTATCTTGTACCTTCTACGAAGCTTTGCGTCTATGCTTTCTTTACTCATGTTCTTGTAGTACTGAGCCACAGACACACCACAGTTCAAAAGACGAGACGCAGGTACCCACGCGAATAGATCTCTCTCATTGTTTCTGAGACAAGATGATTCGAAGATGAAGTAGGCAATTACTATTTGCAGTGATTGGAACTGACTGTTTTTTTGGTTTGTTTAATTAAAGCTTAGGCATCATGTATGAGAATCATTTAAGACACAAACAAATAACGTAGAGAACCGCACTCAAATAATTTTTTCTGTTCGATTTAAGTTTATACTCTCATTTTCATTGCGATAACAATATCATCATCATCATCATCAGCCTATTAATGTCCCCACTGCTAGGGCACAGGCCTTCCCTATGGATGGAATAGGGAGATTGGGCCATGACCCACCACGCGGGCCCAGTGCGGATTGGCGGGTGCTAACGACTGCGACAACGGCTTAACGTGCCTTCCGAAGCACGGAGGAACTCGAGATAGAAGATTTTTGGTCACCCATCCAATGACCGACCACTGCGAAAGTTGCTTAACTTAAACGATCGCAGCCGAACGCGCTGACCACCCGCGCCATCGAGCTCCTCGATAACAATATAACATAAATTAATTGAATAATAAATGTAACTGACATCTATGAGGCACGTTTCTATTAATAAAAAAAAATAAGAAATATTCCACCATGCGAAATATAACTCCGCAATGCCTCTGGGCTACGTCGTGCTCTATGAGTTTTTCCCCACAGTTTACACAATAAATTAAATCATCATCATCATATCTGCCGTACGACACCCACTGCTGGGCAAAGACCTCCCCCAAGGATCTACACACCAATCAGTCATGCGCATTGCGTTATCTAAGGTAAGTATCTACTTACTTTGCTCCTTACTTGTATTTTGTCACGGGGCCAATACCACCTTGTCACAGGGCCGTAGCCAGAGTTGTATTTAAGACTAGCGGCCGCCCGCGACTTCGTACGCGTGGAGTTAGTTAGAAATAAAGTTGCACTGCTCGTTCCCCGTAGGTGATAGCGTAATATATGTAGCCTATATGTTGACCCGACTTCTTAATAATATTTGTGCCAAATTTGAAGTTAATCCATGCAGTACTTTTTGAATTTATCCCGGACGAAAATTTTAAAAACTATATTTTTTGCTTCAGTATCGATTGTAGAACACACCCCAAGTATTCTTTTAAAAACATATTCAATGTAGAGTTTTGACTTTCCTACCATTTTATTATTATTTATAGATAGGTCACGGGCACAAGCAGCGTACCTAGTAATGTAAAATGAATAAAGTGTTTTTTTCCATTTCTAAAAAAGAAACATGAAAAAGAAACTGGGCCATTGTCTATTATTGTTTTTTTATTTCATAGAAGAATTTTTTAACAATTAAATGTTTTATTAGGTATATAACATATTTACTTTAAAAAAATAATATTCTTCAAATGTGTTACTTGAATATATACAAATAGTTCATATACAAACATAAACCGAACGGGGAATTCGAGGATTTTCCCCTACGTAGAGCCAAGAAGTGAATGCTTGGTTGGTAAATTTTAAATAAAAAATGTTTGGTAATATTTATACTAATAAATATTAATCTTAAAAGGAGACTTCCTTCCTAGTTTTGAATTCTGTAAAAAACCATGCTCCAGGAAAGCTTTGTTTCAACGTGTTTTCCATGATAGAAAAATACTGTTTTATTTTTTGCATCTCTAGGCTTGCCGCCCTTCGCAGCTAGCTGCCTCGTTTTATGGTGGGGCAATGGTACTTTAAAATAGGTAAGCCCTACGATGCCCCTTGCTACGGCCCTGCCTTGTCACCTCACATTTTTATAAAGCTGGCTATACGAGTACGTATCCTATAAAAAAACTTCTGGGAAGTAATACGTTTTAGCAACCAAGATTTTCTGATGACTATAGCTGTACCGGAAAATCAATTATGTTGAAGTTATAATAAATAAATAAATATTTCCAACACTCACACCAATTAGCCTAGCCCCAAATTAAGCACTATAAGGCTTGTGTTATGGGATGCCAGGGTAACGGATAGAATACATATAATGTACATATATAAGTATATTTTTTTTATAGAAATACATATTAAACACCCATGACTGGAGTACAAATGCTCGTATTCATCACACAAACATCTGCCCCCACCGGGATTTGAACCCGGGACCTCTCGAGTCGGCGACACCATGAAACCCGGCGTACAAACCACTCGGCCACGGAGGTCGTAAATTTCAGAAATATTTATAGGACCGGATTAAGTACCGCATGATGACTCAAGTGCATTGCAGTCAATTGACTCTCTATTGAACCTTGAAGGCTACAAGAAAGATTTCGGTGCAT